TGTGACTGGTGAACCTTTAGTCGACGCAGCTCCAGGGCCACCTCTCCGACTGTAAATGTGGCCCAGTTTAGCAGTGTCAGTGTCCAGTAGATGTGCCAGTGTGCTGGAGGCTGGGGGTGCACACTGAGGCATAATGTGATGCCAGCATCTCCGCTTTGTCCTAATCTTTTTCGGCTGGTGCCCCATCTTTGGCGAGAGTTGGGAGACCAGGCGTTGCTCTGATTCTTCGCCTGAGGTAGGCATACAATCGCTTTTGTGCTTGTACTGAATCCGCTGCTAGTCGTTCCTCGAATCTGGTTCTCTTGCATTTTTTTAGTGCAGTAAAGTGATTCCGAATACATCGGTATTCCTCATATCCTGCACCTGTCGCACGGTACCTGGACCAGGCTTTATTCCGCTACCGGAGGCACGCCCGCAGTTCTCGGTCAAACCACGTTGGGCCCATAGCGTGCGTTCGGTGGCAGTGAGATGGAGAGAATTCCAGTACGAGCTGCTGGATTCTATGACGAACCAACTCCCAGGATACACCCACGTCCTTAGGGTTCCGGGAACTCCAATTTGTGAGCGATGCAGCCTGACGCATATCCGGAAAGGATGAGCGCCACACATTCCGTCCGTCCTGTGGTCTGTTCGTTTGGGGTACGCCACGCCTTCAGCGTATACGCAGAACGGAGTGATCACTAGATGCAATTGGTGGAAGGAGGCCAATCCTAGTTGTATCTGATTGCCTCGGCGAAAATACCAGGCCAAGGATGGATCTGTGATCTCCAACTATCCGCGTGGGCACATGAACATGTTGAACAAGCGAGAGGGCCCGGACAGCAAAAAGAAGTTCTCTGGAAAACAAATCTGCGTGCTGAGAGCAGATGTCAGTTTCCCAATCAATATGGGGCGCGCTGAAATCACCCAAGACAAAACAATATCCATCGCAGGCGTACCTCTGTATTCTTGCCAGTAGCTCTGGAACGTACACAGCTGGTGTACGGTAAATCACTCCAACTGTGGTATATCCTCCGGCACAAAGCTTGATTCTGCACCGCAGGGCTTCTCCAAATCCTTGCAGATGGGCGTAATTCTCTAGCACTCGAACAGGGAGACCCGAGCGGACAAAAAGAACAACTCCACCACCGCGACGAGACGATGATCGATCCGCTCGAAACACTGTGTATTCGTGGAGAGATATTTCGGAGTCCCGGACATCCGGTGTCAGCCAGGCCTCAGTGATTGCAAAACAATCGGGATTGTTGGATACAACCCAGTCCTCCAGCTCATCCCCTTTTCTCAGCATCCCTCGGGTATTGGTTGAGGCTAGCACAGCGTGACTACCTCGCCATTCGCGCCTCAAGCTAATCCTCCGTCCGTGGTTAAACAGTCTCCTGGGTCCTCCCCCAACCAAGGGCAGCCAACGCAAGTGAGGGCGCTTCCGATGCACACGAAAATCCCGTATTCGTAGATCAGTTTCCCCTTTTGCAAGGCGCTCCCTGAGTTATTCTAATGCAGTTTTCAATTTACTGCGCTGGTCCGGATCGAGATCCCTGAGGAACCTTACCGGAGTTCCCTTCAGCTTGTGGGTCCGCTGGAGTATCGCTTTGACCTCGCTTTCTGCTCGCAGAACCACTTTCAGTGGTCGTGGAGAATTATCCTGGCGGTGTTTTCCAAGTCTGAATGCCGCTTTTACTCTGATCGATGCCGCTGGTTCCACCTCGTCGCCATCAGACAAGGTAACCATGTGCGACCTCAGCAGTTGCTTGTCGTGGTCTAGACGAGCCCGAGCAGTGGTGGCCTCAGCCTCCGGAAGATTGACGACAGTAAGGCACTGAGATTTCGGAGGGAGCTTACTCTGCTGCATAGGTTCCTGCGTATCGCGGGGCACCTCTCAACTGTCCGTGACATGTTACACGCACCGTGCCTGGATGTAGGGAATGAGGAAGTCGAGTCTGTCCGCGAGAGCGATGCAGCAGACAATATCCCTGCCCTTTTTCGGGTGCTTCTGCTGCGGTGCAGCTGCAGGAGCTGCTTTTCTAAGTAAAGTGGGAATGAAATCTGCATACGGAGGGGCCACTTTCACAACAGTGGCCGGCGTTGTGGGAATGGTTCAGTCTCAAAAACGGTCCTGGTGCTAACCCGAGCAAGAAACCACGCCTTGTTTACAGCCGTGAGTCTGAGGCAGGCCCAGTGAACTTCGACTGTACGACAGGAGTGACATCGCCACACGGATGGACTGGATGTGACAACGAGAGCATTACAAAAAGTAGACGCCGGTAATCAGTCAGTCTCGTGTTGGGGGTGAGTGATTTCAAGTGCCGCAAATTGCGGAAAATGAGCGAATCAGATTGCAGAGAGGGTCAGAGGGAATTTACTTGCTCGAGGTCACGGGGTGAGAGGGACAAAACAATATGAAACAATGGAGCGATCGCACCGTATATGTATGTATCAGTACTCAACTATAAAATCCAAACAATGACTGTTGGGGAGCTTAAGCACCTGCTTAAACAGTTTTGGGACACAAAGAGGTGAGGAGTGGGGTGGGTTGAGCAAATGCATTCCTAACGCTTTCACTGTGGGAAGCACACGACACGGAACATGCCTTGATAGTCAACTACCAACCAGATACAGGGGGATGCCTCTGTCATATTCACAGTGTGATTCATTACAACTAGGTGTGAAACCACTGCACTTGTGAGTGGCCTAGTCGTACTTGTATTTATCAATGCGGTTTGGTATTCACGGATTTATTCGGTCAAACACCAGATCTTGCGATCTGTGTACGTGGCTGTAATATACTTTATTGTGTGATTGAAATTGCGTACACCGGACCTACCTGTACTGTGTTCAAAATCCATCAATTCATGTGCATTTCTAACAACCTCCCTGTTTGATGACGTTTGTCCGCCGGATCGAAACTTGGTTATTTAGTTGGCACTTTTCCGAATCCCCCCTCTCTATGGTTACCTAACCGCCCCACGGCAAATTTCGTATTAATTGTCGTGACCTATTCTTCCTCCAACCTATTATCCAAGTCTATTATCTACACCCGACATAGAAACAGTACCATAGTAACTGTCGTCACTCCTTCTGCGATCAACCCATCATCGTTATCTGCTATCTCGACCGGGTATACAAACGGTCCCGTATTATTTGTGGCCACCTGTTCGGCGCCCACTCTCTATGCTTATCCTACCGTTTTCGCTGTTCATTCTTTTCTTGCGATCTGTTATTTCTTGACCCACAGGCTACCGCCCTCGTGCCCGTTGTCTATTCCCTCACTTACACCATGATTACATTTGCATCCGGCGCCGCACACCAACCTTTAGTGTCACTTCGCTATCCAATCCAAGGGGATTGATTCTCACCGCCCTTTAGATAGCACTGTCGTTATATACACATCACATTCCTCCTCCGATTTCCGAGAGTGTCTTCCTGGCACGTTTGCCCTGGTCGTGTCGAACTGATTGTTTTATCCAAATGGGGTTCCCTTAATTTGAGGTATGCCGTTCTACTTCCATTAATTCATGATTGATTGCGCAGCAAAACACTTAGATTTCCCAGCTTTGTGTTCTGCCATAAATTCGGGGTTCGGTATCTTCGAGTAACTTTATCTTCAGACGTCAATCCGGTACACTGTTCCACAGGAACACGTAAATGGATACACACGAAATGAGAGTGCAAAATCCGACATTTAATTGTCTTAAACACACAATTGGCTGGGACGTGAAAAAAACATTGAGCTTTGTGCCATCGGTAGTCTCCTTTGTATTACCTCTGCTGTTGTATCCCCCTTGAACGGGAAGGCAATGCATACAATGTGTATTATGTATATATGATTTATATTTACTCAGTGTATATGACTTGGGTATATCACATTACGTCAACCAGATGACTCACATATGTTTCGCACTACTGAATCGTAGAAACCCTAGTCTATAGGTAGATGAGTAGCTGGCTATTACATTTCAAGAACAATTTCAGATCACTGAATCCGGCGAAATGGTGAATTTTAATTCCTAATCAGAAAGGTTTCCCTTTAAGTTGCATGACTTGTACATGTGAACAAAATCATTTACACCCGTTTTGGTGATGAGAAAAAGAACAAGTGATCAAACGGTAAATTTCGTCATTAAGTTGATTTCATTTATACACATACGGTTAGGAAATCATCGTTTCTCAATGCTTACGTTTAGACTGATGAGTAGTTGCGGTTAGTGGACAAACTATCTCACCCCGGGTTGCTCTTTAATTTCAGTAATGGACCAATTTTCTCGCCCACTCACAAAACCCACAGCCTAATCATAGATCGTAACCCGCAGTCCGTGATTTCTTTTCAACTCAACAAACAGGGTGTTTCATTTTACGCCGGATCGAAAAACACCATCACCGGATGTGCACGGTAAGAAACTTGATTCGACGCTTTTGTGCGGTTGTTTCGTTGTGCGTGTCCTGGTTCACCATTCCCACAAACATATGGACACAAATTCGGATACATGCAGATATATCGGTGCACAGATAGACATAAGAACCGCCCACAACCGATGAAATCCAAAAGTGTGGTATGTGTGCCTATGCGGGTAATTGCCCGTAGACGAATTGCGAAAGCAGAAACCGAGAGTTTTACTCATTGGTATATGTTCATCTGTTTGTTGGACGCTTTTCTGGACTTGCGTTGGTGATTTTTTACAGTTCCACTGGAGGTGGTTGGTCGATGGACAAAATTGAAAAAGGTGTTTGTTGATTCTGTTCCTCTAGCCGAATCTTTTGGTGTTCATTTTACCTCGGGGTTGAAATTTTCTTTCCATCATAGTCTGAACCGTTTGTAACCGTTCTGCCGTTTTGCAACTACGTGCTAATGATTGTGTGCTGCTGAACATAAGGCATAAACCATGAAATCCTCTCGCCTGAATGTATCGAAGCGGAAGATTTGGGCAGCGCAGTGAATTCCAAAAAAATACGCAGTTACTCATGAATCGATCCGAATGACAACTAAACCGAAATATATAAAGATGAAATTGATTATATAATATTTGTGGTAATTATAATTAGAAATATAATTCTAGTCGTTTAGTTGAATTTATTTGATTTACAACGCCTTTTCTATCGTCATCCAAAAAGCAGGACCCTAACCGAAAGAGTTCTTCCAACCGGTTTATGAGGAAGTAGAACAATAGCGATAGCTTACAAACATACGGATTACAAGCCGATGAACAGTTTGTGAATATTAGAATGTTTCGCAATAACTAAAGTTGTGGTTATGCTTCCCTTGTCGCATTTTAAGTCCGTGTACCGATTAATTGTGATCAGACGCCGCACATGTTGCACTGATCGTCGATTCGCTCTTCATACCACCTCTTATACACGTCCACCTAAATGGTCGGATTGTCAGAGTGACGTGTCATCTTGTCGTCTGGCTTTACCTGATCATGTCAATGTGGACCTAACGGTCATGGTGGAGCAGCGTTATGGCGTTGAACAATAGATCTGAAGCGCACCGTGATGTCTTGATTTGTGACTGAGGTTAGACATCTGATTAGCCCAGAATGGAAGCGGGGGGGGGTGAACGATGATAAAGCCAAAACCACTTAAAGATACAAAATTGCACATGGAATTTAATCAGGGGTCACTTAAAGATCGGTTGCTTACATGACCAGACGGTTAATTAGTACATTTGACTGAATAAGAATAAAAAAAGACACGTTTCAGGATCAAAATATTTTTACGGTAAATTTTGCAAATGGGGATATTCATGCTTGATCCATCTCGTTAGTTCCGAACTAGAACGTTCAAAAGGTAAAGAAGGTTGACTAAATTTCAGAAATTTGCCATCATGTAGAAAAAGATAAATACAAACTAGCCAGGTGAAACTTATCAGAGTGAGTAGTCACCTGGAGTCATGACTACTGGCAAAAAATCGTGAAAATGAGCAAAAATAAAGTATTTTCCGAGGTTCCAAAATGAAAGCAGTAACGGTGAGATTGGGACACTGAAGCGAGTATGACTTGGTGAATACAGGTTAGATGTTAACGAAGATTTGTTGGGAGTGTGAATCGCATGCGGTTGTTAACTGTGATAAGCACAAGGGTTACGAAAAGGGTGAGGGGTAAAGCACAACAGCCTGTGGCAAAGATAAGAACACAACAAAATTGTGTGGAAAGTATTGGAACAAAAATAGGGAGAGATGAAAGGAGAGAGTTAGAAAGAAGTATGAGTTTTGAAGTAGTAGGGCAGGGTGTTACAATACAAATTTCCAGTTTGACAAATGACTTTTGGTATCAAATTCCAGTCATAAGGATCATGATATCAATTAGTGATTCCTTTTTTAATAATAACAGATTGCTCATTCCATACTTTGTCTGTACCTCATACCTATGGATTCTCGCGTCATACATACACAGAACCGAAATCCATTTCGATTTCTATAGAAAAAATTTATTTCTATCACTCGATGATTACGCATTTTCTTTTTGGAGAGCATCCGATGACTTGCTTAGTTGTCATACCAACTTCCGGTTTGACAAAGTGGGTTGCCCAACTGAAGTGCATGAGGTATCCAGGCACTAACACAAATGTCTCGACTCAAGCTTTCCGTGTACAGTAATTGGTCTACCTTGCAGAAAAATTCCACAGTTTTATTTTTCAATAATCTAGCTTCATATTATTATATTTTTCAGGTCTGAAATCTACTGTAGTCCAAGATATTTTGAAAGGTTTCACCAGTTACATGACATGATGGTACTACTCCTCATTCCTTTCATGCTTGTGGAAATAATAATAACACGGCATATGATAGTAGACTGATATAGTACAGTTGAATCGAATATCGAGTGCTCTGGACAAAGACNAGCAAACGCAGTGGAT